AAAAATCAAAAAAAAAAAATCAGAAAAAATCAATAAAAAGTCAGAAAAAAAAATCAGATTTTTTTTTAAGAAAAACAGAAAAATCGGTGTACACTAGAATTTATAGTGAAGGACCCCTCGCCCCGCATACCCTAAAAATTGCGTAATTTAAGGCACGGTCCCTAATGGCCCCAATTTGCGTTACCGCTAGAGACGAAGCCGGTCTTCTCGAGGGCGGCGAAGTGCTCCCGCAGCCCCGGGCAGGACGCGGCGAGGGTCGTGCCGCGCACCCACGGCCCGGGCGACGCCAGCAGGTGGAGGTAGGTGGCGGCCGCGCCCTCCGACAGCTCGAGCCAGCGCTGCAGCACGGCCTTCTCGTCGTCGTCGAAGAGCGCGCCGAAGCCGATGGACGCGCCGGTGCTGGGCCGCACCATGGCCTGGAACAAGACGCAGTCGTTGGAGTACGCCGGGAGGGGCCGAAAGCGACGACGACGACGTGGAGGGGACGCGAACCTCGATCACGACCCTGAAGCACAGCAGACGCCGGTTGGGTGCGTTGGGTGGCGCAGGTGCGGGGGTGGGGGCGGGGGCCTCACACGTGTCGGCGTCTCCCTGCGCGCGCTGTTCTGCCTGCCCAGCCGCCCCGGGCTCAGTTGGCTCGGTCTGTGCACAGCGCGCCAGCTCCCCGGTCCTCACAGACACGGCCGTGCTCGTGCTCGAAGGGGGTTTCTTCGACCTGGTGCGTCCTCGCCGCCAACTGCTGCCTGAGAATGCCCCAACAACACAGCGTGGTGGTGAGTTAGCCCTTGCCAGCGAGTGTCTGACACCGCATCGGCGACTTTGTAAACAAAGTGTTTGTGACACACTCCTTAGACCCTTGTCCGGACTACTCACGCTTCGTGACCTCCATGACGGTGTCCTGCTGGCTCAGACGTTTCTGTCGGAGGGGGTACCGCGCGCTACTGCGTAGCCTGCCCATCCCTGCGACAAAAACAAACAAAAGTTCGAAATGCTCAGACCCTCAAATCTAACTGTAGCCAAACTTATTGGCCCAAAGTGTACTTTACCGGTCTGCTCCCGGACCGTGGTGGAGGCCGCGGTGGTCTTGGTAGTGTTCCTCAAAACGCGTCGCCAGACGCGAGTTGTGCGCGGTTCCTCGTCTTCGTCCTCGTCCTCGTCAGTCGTGATGGTGCCGGCGGTGGTGCTGGCGGTGGTGCCGGCGGCGCTCACCGCAGCCTCGGTCAGTCTCTCAAGCACCACGCGGCACTCCTTGACGGCCATCCGGGCCATCCGGGCCTCGGCGTCCCCGGGCAACAACCTGTCCAACACCACATTGCACTCCCGCAGGTTGCGGTCCAGTTCGCACGGCCCCGCCATGCCGCCCTGATGCCGCTGGCCGCGCCGCTCGAAGTGCAGTGGTGTGCGGCGTTCGATCGCGACGTTCACTAACAGACAAGTTTCGAGGATTGTTTACAACTACTGGTCGAAACTCGGGTTATTCGGTGGAGTGCTGGACCAGCACACCTCCGCGTGTCCCAACCTATCTTCGCTAGTCCCAACCTGCCCACTGCTCACCACCGAGCGCAGCGCCACCCCCCGCCGTGTAGGACACTGCGGTGCGGTAGACGGGTTTTGTTTACGGTTTCGGGTCTTTTAGCCCTTTTCGCCCACAACGTGGCAACACCGCAAATAGAATTTTATATTTGAGATAAACCGTATTTTGAGTGCCTGTGATCCTTGGACACTGGATTCCTTGGAAAATTTACAAGGGACAAGTGTTTTTGCTTTCTGAAAATTTGCTCAAATTACAATCTTGCCATAGAGATTTGCGCTGTTGCCAAATTGAGGGCGAAAAGGTCTATTAGCCGAACGGCTCTGGGCTCCGCGATCCAATCAAAACGCCAGATAGCCAGCTTCGGCTGTCACGTGGCACCCACCCGAATACCAAAGTATCGCTCCGACGTCTATAGGAGTAGGGTAGGGTGGGGTTGAAATCTGGAATCGAAAAAGTAGATCCGGAATCAAGTTACTAGCTGTAGGGTCCATTTTGATGCATTGGCTGACCTCTGACCCCTCCGGATGGGCCAAAGTTTGATCTTAGGCAAAACGGACGCTTTTCGCCCCCTCCGACACTCAAAGGCATATCCGGGAAACGGCTCTCTTAGGTTATGGTTCGGAATAGACCTTTTCAAAATTACTCAACATCAGGATTTTTTGGAAAATTTAACAGGAATACCGTAAGAGCTATTGCTTGTTGCAAATTTGCCCAAATTACAATGTTAATCGATCCGGCTGCTACCTGCTGGATAGCTTCAGGGACGGGAATCGGTTGTCGGTTCCCGCGTCCTCAACAGGTCACAGCAATCATCAGTCTACATAGAGATTTTCGTTCCACCCTTATTTGTGGGGCTTATGATTAGTTTCTCACTTATAATAATAAGCCAACACCAAGTTGGCATCCGTGTCACGGACAAATACTTCTAACGACAGGCTAGGGAGTCTACTTTCCCTTAGCTCTCGCTGACGACTCGTCACGCCTCCGCGAGGCATATATACCAGGTATGTACTCAGCCTATCAACAAGGTCCGCCGATACAGTTCACTCTGGCCCGGGCATGGGCGACAGTGGTGTGTTACACTGGCCCGCCAAGAGGCCATAGAGGTCTTGAGGGTTCAGAGGCCACCTTGGCCCGCTCCTGAAAAGACGGAGTTGTTTCACAATTGACCTTCATTTTTCGGTTGCTATTTAGAATTTACTTTGATTATTTTTGTATGTGGCGCCCTGGTCCGAGCGGCGTCGGCACGAGCTAGAGAAAGAGAGGCGAGAGGGAGACACTCGAATGCATTGCCGCGGCGTCTCGTCTCCCTCTACCGCGCGCAGAGTTACGTGATTCGAGTTGCACCGCGAATCGTGATGGTTGGGAAGGAGGGGCGGCGGGGGGCCACGTGCGACCTGGCCGCGGCTCCGCGGGCTCCGGGCGGCGCGGGGGGCGGGCGCTGAGGTGCCCGCCCTGCCTGCCGTGATGCTGCCGAGGCCCCTTGCTCAGTAGAGAGAGAGTCGCGGCCGCGTGCTCATCTGGCACACCTAGGATCCTCCGCGTCCTCCGCCGCCTCTCCGCGACGACGGTGACCTGCTGACCGCGCGCGCCCCCTCCCCCC